TGGAATCTCCAAGATTAGAAACAAATCTGAGTAGCAGACAGCTGGTGAATGTGTTTTAAAATTGTCCATTTAACCCAAGGCTGCTCCACTGAATTTTTAACTCTTGCATCTTTAGTAAGATGTGTGATATCTTTGGCCTTTCTACAGACAACCTGTATGAACTGTGTGCTTCCTATTGATGGAGCTGCATTTTTACTCACTAGCAGTAGTGTGCTGGAAATTTCTGATTCTGAAATAGGTCTTCTGTAAATTATTTAACATCAGGCCATTGAAATGCATTTGTGTTTTCCTTCTTAGGGCTATTAAAGATGTAGAGGAAACACTTACCACCAAATTAATGGTTGCATTTTCCTGCATAATCCTGCAGATGGGGTTGATTTAAATCTCAAAAAACATGTGCTTCAGAGAGAAATTATAATATTACACAATTTTTCTGTTGTACTTAATTTTTTTTTCATGTCAATAATTTTCATCTAGATGCTGTCTCTTTAATGTGGTGAGTTTTCTTTCTCATTAACTGTAAGGCACTGAATTTCATCCTCTGGTTTGTACTTTGTTGGCTGAAATACTTCTCTGAGGTCTGTAGTGATTAGGAAGCTGGGACCGGGTAGAAGTTGCAGGGGCTCTTACTGCCATCTCCATTTTGTGGAGGAATGTAAAAGCAGAAGGGTAGCAGCTTGCCTGCAGTCTCTGGGGGGAGGCAGATCCAGCTGAAGAGAAAGAAATGTCCTCCATGCACATAGGAGAGAAGAAAATTAGATGACAGAGCAGAGATTTAGCACAATACTGGCTGCTCTGATAAAATCTGACTGGCTTTCCTTTGAGGATTATACAAAGATAAGCAGCTTTAGCTCATTAGCACCTTCCCTTTCTCATGCTCTGATGATTGTTCTAGGTTTGATGGCAAGTGGTGATGACAGGACTTGCTCTGATCTGGGGAGCAGTACTGGAAGTGCAGCACATCCTGAAGCCTGAGATGTTGGGCTAGGTGTCATTTCTTGCAGCTGATTTTAGAGTCAGCTGAGTTCATTGATGTATTTATGCTTGGACCTTTCTCCTCATGGTGTTTAGTGCTCTCAGTGCATGAAGGCGACCATTAGAATCACTGCACTTACTTTTTCAACAGATGAACTTTGTACTCACTCCCAAAAGCACAACTCCTGAAGCAGCAGTGGAAATGACCTTAACTGCATAACTCTGGGGAGCATCACGGTTGGGTTCTTGAAAATTGACCTGGCAAGTATGAAAAAAGTCAAGTGATGTTTTTCAGCATGCCTTTAAGTTAGGTCGCTAATGATATTACTGCACCATCACAGCCATTGTAAATGTCAGTTCTGTGAAAGAAATATACATTAATGCTCTCTAAATGTTGTATAGAGTTATGCTGTGTACCTTGTGGCCATCCATAAACATCTCCTTGTGACAAAACTTGGTGTGAGCAATTTCCAGTCCTGAAATGCTCTGCACCACTTCCTGCTGGAAGTTAACACTTCTTCATGTATGCTCATTGATGTGAGCAGTTGTTTGAGTTATCCTCTGACCTTCAGCCAGAAAAAGCAAAGGTAAAGTCATTATGTCTTTCCTGGGCTATATTGGGATGTGCTTACCTGTCCCCTGGGCTGGTTTGGCAGGGCCCTTCCTGTGGGCCGGAGGAAGTGGAGGCTTACTCTCCCTTTTCATCAAATGGAGAATCACCACCACCTTTATAAAAATAGGAACTTTATATAGTGTCATGCTTTAAACTCAGCCAGCAGCTAAGCACTCCACAGTCCCTCTCTCACTGCCCACCAGTGAGTGAGAAAATCAGAAGGGTAAAAGTGAGAACTCATTAATTGAGATAAAAATACTAAAATAGGTATTGTAAAAGCTGCATGCACAAGCAAAGCAAACCAAGGAATTAATTTACCACTCTCGTGGGCTGGCTGGTTTTCAGCAATTTCCAGGTAAGCAGGGTAGTATTTTCATTACAGTCTCTATCCATGGGCCCTTTGGACCAGACCATTTGGGGTAATGTTGCAATGAACTCCTCTCCTTGCCCCTGCTCCTTTTTTCGACTTAGCCACAGACTTCAGTCCCTTAGGGTTTTGCCTGCTCAAAGTGGAGCCTTATCTATGTGCCACAGTCTCTTCAGGAGTGTATCTGCTGCAACACTGACATAACCACAGATGTTTGAGATGCACCTGCTCCAGCATGAATGTATCTACAGCTGCTTAGGGCTGTTCTCCCATGTGGACTAATCCCCAGGTCGTATTCCCATCAACTTGAGTTCACACTGTAGTATCTAGTAGTAGCATCACAGAAATGTCAGTGAAGGCCTGAGTATTTGCCAGCATGGTGCTTTGTCACTGCTGACATCAAGATGTTCTCAGGCCCAGTAGAATAAGATGGTCAGCAGTTCAAGCAAGCAGCAGAACCAAGGAGCAGCCGCTAACAAGCACCAGGCTTTAGTGTGCAGTAAGGCAGTCAAGTCCCATGGCAAGTCCAGGAGCCAGTCAGTGAATAGCTAAACAACAATAATAGCTATAAATGCAATCTAGCACATTCAAATCAAATCTGTCGTTATCTCAAACCCTTCCACCCCCACACTGGCCATCAAAAAGGACTGTTGTGGTTTAACCCCAGCTGGCGGGTAAGCATTCACTCCCCCTGCAGTGATTGAGTGAGAAATCAGAAGGGTAAAAGTGAGAAAAGTCATGGGTTGAAATAAAAACACTAAAATAGGTAAAGCAAAAGTCACACACACAAGCAAAGTAAACCAAGAAATTCCTTGGAAACACCGCTTCCCATGGGTGGGCAGGTGTTCAGCTATCCCCATGATAGTAGGGCTTCCTCGCATATAATGGCTTGCAAAAGCCATGACTTGCGAAAGCAAATGCCATGATTCTTCCTGTCCCCAGTTCTTTCTTCTTGCCCCAGGTTTATGTGCCGAGCATGACACCATATGGTCTGGAATATCCCTTGGGCCAGGTGGGATCAGCTGTCCCAGTTATGTACTCTCCCAGCTTCTTGTGCACCCCTAAGCCTCCTTGGTGGTGAGATGGGCTGAGATGCAGAAAAGGCAGTGACTGGTGTAAGTGCTGCTTAGCAGTTACTGGCACATCTCTGTATCAACAACAGTGTTTCTAGCACAATTCCAAAGGTAGCCCCAAATGAGCTACTATGAAGAGGGTTAACTCTATCCTAGCTGAAACCTAGTACAATGTTAGACAAATTCACTTGGAAGTATGTATGTACAGTATATTTATCAATTAAATTAACCATGCTAATTGAAGAATCGTGTTTTTCTGCTATTAATTTCATCTATCAAAACTCCCTGTTTATTGGAACATAGAAAATCTAGCTGCTAAATTATTCTATGTTGCATGCTTTTCTTGTATCTTTTCTCTGTGACATTCCTAGTAAACTGCTTCTCCTGAAGTTGGGCATGAATCCTGCACAGATTTGCCTGGCTTTCACTGCAAACATATCTTTGTCCAAATCTGTGATGCTACCCACTGACAAGTACATCTTAATCATGGTAGAGTCGTGGCCTGTTTAAGCCCAGAGACACAAAAAAGCGTTAGAAATTAAAGTACTGCTTGCCGTGGCAAAAATGCCTTTGGGTTAGGTTCCTTTCTTGGAAGACTGGTGGTACATATGAACTCTGCACATCACAGTGGGCATGTGTTCCTCCACAAGTCCCCACTTTCACATCCCAGGTTAGGGAGGAGAAGAAACGCTTTTCTGGTAGTGATATTTATTATTCATTTTGGACTGTACCATTGGGTTATGTTCTCATGTTGCTTCTTGCCGCTGTTTTAAATTAAAATCTAACAACAACATTTAATTTTAAAAAAATCTTAATTGTTACATTGACTCTGAGGGTGTTCTACCTCGGCTCTGCAGTAATGGCATCTGGGCTGAGAACGCTCTCAACTTTATCTCGGGCTGTACTTCCAAGGAAAAAAATTGGCCTTTGGCGCTTAGAAGATACGCAGCGTGAAACGGGAGTACCTTTGAATTATGCTCTGTGCATTTCCTCTGTGCTGCATCCGTAGCCGTGATCAGGTGTGTGAAGCAATGCTGAGCAGAGGATGGAGGAGGCATTGGGAGTTTAGCTCTTGCAGATGAGTGGGTTAAAAGTAGAAGGGAACAAAACTGAAGCCAACATTGGCTCTCCTGAGTTCTTTGCTGCACTTAGATGGTTAATCTAATCTCTTAATGCAACACTATGGTTGTCAAAAGCAGAGAAGAAACGCTAATGTGTATATCTATTGTAGGTACAATTGTGATGCTACTGACTCAGAGCTGCATCAGGAAAAAGCATTTCTTCCAAGTGATGCCCTTCAGAGTATGGCTAAAATAAAATGAACAAACAGTTGCTACAATTCCCATAAAGAGCTGCAAAAAGTTGCCTGGAGCTCTGCTTAAAAACCTGTGTAGCACATAAAAAGCTCAAGATTTGCAAATCCCTGTAACCTGTAATCTTTTCTTTGCATGAGCAAGAACTAGCGCACTTTGGGAGAGCAAAGGCCCATTTATTTACTCTATTACTCCACTGATTTTCTGGAATGCTGTTTGGTGGGGGAGTATAGCTTGTAGAAGTGTGGTTTTTGTTTTGTGGGGCAGTGATTTGAGGATGTGGTAGAAAGGAGCCTGGGGGCACGGGGATGGACAACTGTGGATGCATTGGAAAAGCTCACAGAAATAGCCCCATCTGCTTTTGTTTTGTTTCCTAACTGAATACTAGTGACCAAACCCAGCAATATATTTTCCCACTTTTGAACTGTATAAAAGAGGGTTTTAACTGGCATCCTTTCCTATTTATAAAGGGTCACTTATCAGACTTTACCAGGAATGTATCGAGCCTCTAGTACAGAAAGCTTGGCAATTAAAACATTTCCCGCCCCCCCCCCCCCCCCAAGTCCTGAGTTCTGAAGCCCAAGATGCTCTTAAATGGGAAAGCTAAAAGTATGCATGAGTTGTGACAGTTTTAAAAAATACTTTTCGTTTTTATGCAGTGGGAAGAAATTGGTGAAGTGGATGAAAACTATGCTCCAATACACACATACCAAGTATGCAAGGTAATGGAACAGAATCAGAACAACTGGCTTCTGACCAGCTGGATCTCTAATGAAGGGGCATCCCGCATCTTCATTGAGCTCAAATTCACCCTGAGGGACTGTAACAGCCTTCCAGGAGGACTTGGGACGTGCAAGGAGACTTTTAACATGTATTACTTTGAATCAGATGATGAAGATGGGAGGAACATCAAAGAAAACCAGTACATCAAGATTGATACCATTGCTGCTGATGAGAGCTTCACAGAGTTAGACCTTGGAGACAGAGTAATGAAGCTTAACACGGAGGTGAGAGATGTTGGGCCCCTAACAAAAAAGGGATTTTACCTCGCTTTCCAGGATGTGGGTGCCTGCATTGCCCTGGTTTCTGTGCGCGTGTACTACAAGAAATGCCCATCAGTTATACGTAACCTGGCCCACTTCCCTGACACCATCACGGGTGCGGATTCCTCGCAGCTCCTGGAGGTGTCAGGTGTCTGCATCAACCACTCAGTGACTGAGGAGGCACCGAAGATGCACTGCAGTGCAGAGGGGGAATGGCTGGTGCCCATCGGAAAGTGCTTGTGCAAGGCAGGGTATGAGGAGAAGAACAACACCTGCCAAGGTAAGGGTTTGCAGGAAGGGTGCTGTGCTGTGCTTCCAAGGTGATGGCCAGTCTGGGCTTTCTTCTCTTTCATGTTTTCTGTGCCTGGTTGGGTTGACAGTGTTGGGTCAGGTTCTCACTTCCACTGAGGTCCTTTGAGTAAGTGTTACAGCAGGAAGACAGAGGCCTGGGCTGGATGTCATGCAGATGACACCTATATGCAGTTGCTTCTGGTGCTTACAAAGCTGCCAACAAGGAGCATCTGGCATTCTGCTCTTACTTTTGGAGCACTGTACTATTGAGTCCATGAGACAATTGTAGTCTTATCTGTTATTTAGAGATTTATGTTTTCTTCAGTATCAGCGTTTCCTTATGAGTCTTAGAAGCCTGGTTTTCTTTTCTGGACTGTACCAGGGAATTTTTGAAGTTAATCTTTCTATAGAAGATGCATTTTGGTTTTCTATGTGAAGGAGTGTGTTTTTCTGTCTTTATCTCTCTGTGAGGGGCTGGATATTTGATGTGGTGTGAGTTGATTGATTTTCCTCTCTGGTAAATACAAAGCTGCTCATCTGCTCAGAGTTAAACCTAAAGCCCCACTGATAAAAATGCTTCCACATATCCTGAAGTTTTCCCACAAGTAGCTGGCTGAGGTTGACAAGTTGCTGGTCAGCATAGGTCTCCTGAATTATCAGAGGCCAGAGATCTAGGGTATCTAAAGCTCAAGACCTTAAAAAGAATACTTAACAAAGAACAACAATATACTCTGAGTGTATAATCTCATTCTATGGTTTTCTGTATTGCATGCTTGTTTATAAAACTTGCCCTTCTGTTGTAAATACATAAAACTAATTTGCTTGTAAAAGAGAAGGGTAAACAAAGTTTTCAATACAGTTTGCTTTTTGCAAAATTAATATATATTGGTTATCAGTCCCATCTTAATTGGCTTGTCTTTGCAGCTACTTAATAATGGATAGTAATACATACTGTGGAGAAGGCAGAGGAATTCCACTTCAGCTGAAGTCTTTGTTGCATTTTCTCTTCGCCTCACTCCAGAAACTCATTATTGGTATTTGTAGTGTGGTGCAAAGAATAGATCAGTGCATATCTGCAACAAACTGTGGCCTTGATCCTTTAGTCCTCAGTCACATGCCTGTGACCCTGAAGATAGTTCAAATCTCTTCAAAGGTTGACATGGAGAGAAGATGTAATGTTTGAGATAAATGTTTGTGTTGGAGAAGACTCTACTAAACAGCATATGGAATGAGGTTTTTTACCAGAATAGTGTCCTTTTTCTAGAGGTATAGTCAGTACAGCAAAATGTGTTTTATGTGCTAATGTGTCTGTGCTAATAAAGATATTTCTCCTTTTAGGGGAGAAGAAGAGACTGACTCGATATTTGGTACTGTACAAAGGGGGTGCTAAGATCAACATTATCTCAAGTTGAGGAAATTTAGACTGCCACAGACGAGGGATGTTGGTTGATAGATCAGCAAGGTTTTGCTTAATTATGGCAGAAAATACCATGTCACAAAGTGACAAGACACTGGTTTGGTGCTAGGTCTAGACACTGAGGTCAGTCCACCTGTAAGAATTTTTGTAGGAAAGGAGTCCTCTATTAGTCACCTTTCAAGTCCTGCCCTCTGATGCTGCATTTCTCAAAGCACTCTTAGAGGTCTCACAAAAAAGAAAAGAAACAAACAAACAAAAAAGCCAAACCAAAACACTATTTAAAAAACCAGCTATGAAGCAAACCACCAAACCCAAAAAACTACGGACTTAAACCAGAAACTTGAGACTATCATTGAAGAAGCTGTGCTGCCTGTAGAGAGGTTGCATCTCTGGCAGTGTTGAGATAGCAATCTGGGATATGTTTTGAGAAGACCTTAGTGATTAAAGGTTGTTCTTTATGGTTTTGGGTGCATGTTGGGGTTTTTTTTAATTTTTTTCCTTAATCAAGGGGACAGTATGTAGCCTCTCAATTTATGACTGTGTTGGGTAGGCCTGTGATCACAACTAGGAAGTGTAAAGATGCTTTGTGGTGGTGTATCCCTGCCCTGTTCCAAAGGTATATCCACATAAACTGCTCTTTACTTCACCTACAGCTGACCCTCGACAGAATTTTTATCATTTTATTTCTCTAGAGGTGTTAAAACCAGTAATTTTTTTTGTGGGATAGCACTAAATTCCATCACCAAATCAATGGGACTTGAGTGCCTATGGCAAATTCTGTTTGAGGGCCCCATTTGTATGTACTGTTTAACCCAGGTCATTATGCCAAGCATTCCCTGCCGGTTGACTCCAAGATGCTCTGTTGATAGGAAGCATTCAGCCTTAGGCAGTTCAGGAGGTCTGTATTCATCATGTACGGGAGTTCATGTCAATATCCCTTGTGAGTAAAATGCTTTCTGGTTTGGTTATTGTTACGTTCACAAAGATGAGATTGTCTTCTAGGACAGTGAAGTTAAACTTTGCATCCCTAAGCAGAGTAAGTAAGACCAAGAAAGGTCCTATGTATTTGTAAATGTTGAACTTTTTTTTTCACAGTCTGATTGATTCTAAGGAAATGCACTCCATGCTCCTGCGTGACATAATGATGGTTTTGGCACTTTGCTGTGTAGCTTTCACAAACACCTAAATAACTTCTGACCTTTGGTTTGTGAATCACTTGGGTGCATCTTGCAAATGGTCTTCCAGTTGCTTTCACTTAGTAAGCAAGCTTTTCATGACCATGCTTTGAGAAACATTTTCAACCCTGAAGAGCCTGGCTTTTTAAATTAAAATTTCTACTTCAAAGGTGACATTTTCCAATCTCTAGTGTCATATCTGGACAGAGCAGACTACACTTTTTTATTAGAGGTGATGTAAATCCCAGTCATCCTCAAAAACATATGAGAACTATTGAAATCCCTTCTGCCTTCAAATCATTAATTCGCAATGATGTTCAGAATTCGTCATCTTGTCAGCAGGGTTCCTGTTTGAAGAAGGCACTGTCCGTAACTGCTGAACAATTTCTCTCACTGATGACTCTGAGATTGTAAATATGACATGGTGTAATCTCCTAATATAACGTGCTCACTCAATTAATATGGCGGCTAGGTAGTAGTTACGTAAAAAAACCCCCCAAACTACTTGGATTTTTACACCTCTTTTGGCAACATGGCACATTTATCAGCAACTGCTAGGGACAGCTAAAGGTAAATTGTGACTGTGTCAGGACATGCTTGTAAAGGACCAGTGTTAAGGTTCATTATTCACAAGAATATATTGCTGTACTAGTTAATTAGAGAAATGAAAGCAGTTGCTCTGTGAATTTCTGTGTTGGTTTCCAGAGTGGTCAGTTGGTACCACTGAAAAACTGATGGTTATGGGCTTTACCTCAGTTCAGCTGGTGCTTTCTGAATGGGTCCTTGAGGAAAATGCCCACTCTCAAAGTCTGCTTGGCCAGTTTCATGTCTCCTAATGGTGGTCTCTGCCAGCTTGCCTGCTAGCAGACAGTACTCAACCAAAGCTGAGGGACAGATCTTAAAATGCTGTTAAAATTGGTGTAAAAAAATTGATGCCGCTGAAATTTCTGATTTTACCCATTTATGGGTTTGACCAAAAAAATTATCTACCTGGTCTCAGCTTTCTTTCTTCCTGCACTGGCATAGGTGAATTTTATTGTAATTTCAGTTTTAGTTGCTTACTGTAAATAGCAGTGCTCATCATTGGGGTTTGTGTAGGAAATGAATACCACAACAAGGGTACCTTCTGGCATTTGTCTTTGTATTCATCCTCACCTTCAGCCCAATATGTTTTTAGTGAGCAGGAAGAAGTACTTATTTTTATGCCTTTAAGGACAGTTGAGCCTGTACAACTGGAAGAGAGGGGATGTTGACATGTTAAGCTAATGAGAGCCAAACACATTTGTAGTGGTGAGGTCCTGCTAGTGTCCAGTGGGCTACAGACTACTAACTGCAAATGTAATTGATTTTGCAGAGCCTGATCTTTTTTCAGATTACTTGAGAGCTGAAGCACAAATTTATTAAATATTTGAGTAAAGAAAAAATGGACGAAAAATAAAACTGCACAGGAGGAGTGCCAAAGTGACACTCTCCTTTCTGAGAATTGGTACGTGCTTCCGCTTGAAGAGACATCAGGAGGAGTACAATTGGTTTTAGCTAGCTAGAATGTATAGACAAGGTTACAGATGTTAGAGGTGGACAAAATAATGGAGGAAAGCTCAGTGATATCTTTCTTTACCCTTGCTGTCTTCTGAGGGCTGGAGGAAAGATGGGTTGGGGTATAGTTTGTGGTTTTAGAAAGGAGCTGCTGCCAGAAAAAATAGCTAGATTTTTTTTTTTGTAAAACACCTCTAGAATGTTCAAGCCCTTCTGCTGTCTTCAAATTGATGTTTGTTTGATTATTTTTCCCTTAATCAACTTTGCTGAGCATACCTCAATGCATTTACAAAATCATATTTATTTTTGCTGATTGTTCATTGTTTGTGTGGTGATTCAGCTGAGCTCTTGCCAAGAGAAATTAGTTTCTTACAGAAAACAAGGGCTGCAGAAAAACCTTGTGTCTTTTATTTTGGACTTAATTAAAACTAATTGACATCTAACTTATGTAGTTTAGAAGCTTACCTGCTAAATCAGTTATTGGATGATTTTGTTGCTGGCTGTTTGGGGGTGAAGCACAGTTACTCATCTTCCTCCAAAAGTGGAGCAATCAGTGCAGACTGTTTGAAGGCACTTTCCCAGAGCAGTGATTGCCATCCCATTGATCAGCCACTAGAAGGATATTCAGAGGCAATTGTTTATTTAGAGCTGGGCCAGGAGCAAGGAGGCAGAGGTGGTGACCCTTGGCTGGCAAGGAGCAGAGGCAATATCTGTGGAGGGTTGGGAGACAACTGAGGACTTACAAATGTAATGATGGCAGAGCCATGCTTTATGACTCTTGTGTTTTTCAGTCTGCACAGCAGCTTTCTCCGAAGCCTGACTGTGAATAAAACAGATAACTGATACCACAATAAAGAGAGC